ATATAATCCTTACATTATCATCTTCATATTGAGAATCTTCATAATGAGAATTAGAAACCAGCTTCCATTTGCAAGATGATGCAATAAAAAAATTTTCAGATCCCTTAGTCTCTTAAAAGTATGCTCTAAAATGTAAGTAAAATGGGAATAATACATAAATTCTGTCTTCATGGGGAATATATATTTACTGCAACCCACAATAGAGGCAGAGAGCAGCAGAAGCATGGTAAGTAATGTGGCAGGCGGTTTGGGGAGAAATCCAGGTCTAAAAGCCTAAAAAGAAGCCACCAAGGACAAGCAAGCCCCTGGTCCTCTAGAGGAGATAGCAAGACTAGGATGAAAGCAGGCTGGGGTGAAGAGGGATTTGCTTAAAGTAAAGCACTGGGCCCGGTGGGTCCTCATGAGTATCCTGGTCAGGCAGGTGTTTCCACTTCCACAGACACCTGGAAAGTCCTTCGTGAAGAAATGGAAAGCATCGGCTCTATTAGAAGCAAAGATAGCATGTAGAGTTATGTAAGCCCTACAAGCTGAAGAGTAAAATTGCCTACGCCCTCTCTGTTGTGTGGCAGGTTTCACGCCCTTGCAGACATTTGGAAGAGTTTTATCTGAAGATGTTGAAGGAATCCCCAATGAATTAATCACTGTCAGCACAGTAACCACACAGTTCTTAGGAAGGAAGAAAGCAACAGGGAACTGATGGATTTTTTCCCCTTAATTATAATTACAGTACATTGATTTTTAATACGTTTTCCCTTCTTAAAAATTTGTCAGTGATATGGTTTGGCTCTATGTCCCCCCCCAAATCCTATCATGACTTATACCCCCATAATCCCTATGTATCATTGGAGGGACCTAGCGGGAGGTAATTGAATCAAGGAGGTGTGTTTTTCCTGTGCTGTTCTCATGACAGTGAATAAGTCTAAAGAGATATGATGGTGTTATAAAGGGCATTTCTCCTTATGCCTCCATGTGACAAAGGACGTGTTTGCTTCCCCTTCTGCCATGATTGTAAGTTTCCTGCAGTCTTCCCAATCATGCTGAACTGTGAGTCAATTAAACCTCTTTCCTTTATAAATTACTCAGTCCCAAGTATGTCTTTATTAGCAGCATGAGATCAGACTAATACAGTCAGTACGCCACTCTGATACAAAAATAATAATATACATAAAAATAAAAATTTTAGAGGTTAAATAACATTTAAATGGACCCATGGCAAGAAGGGCTGAGAGACAGAATTTCTACTCAGCCCAGACATTCCAAAACTCATGCTTCTTCACAACACAATGTCCTTTCTATCTACATCAGACGTAAGGAATACATAGTAAAACTATTCAGTGTTTCTTAAGCAATATTAGATTGAGAATGTAATATTCAAAAATGGATTTGGCATTTAAAATACAATTTAGTTCACAAAGGTAATATATAATAGCCTAAACAGTTGACGTTTCAAGAAACTATTGTCAAAACATCACTGAGTCTTACAGCACAATAATCTCTAGCTTTCCTTACAATGGAGCTTGCTAGGAAATAGTTATCTGTTATACTATGAAATACTTTTAGCCAGCAATAAAACAAAAGCTAATAGGAACTTATAAAATCTGTTAAATACAACACTAGTGTTTTAAAAAATCTGTCTTATTCTCTGTGGTTCTTTTTACTTTGATGTCACCAAGTTGATATAGCAATAATTTATGCATCCAGAAACATTTAGTCATCACCTAAAATGTGCAGGATACAGGAGAAACTCATCAGTAGTGACAAAGGCACATGACATATACAGTAATCATAACTCAATGTGCAATAAAGGAGGCAGTTTACCCAACAGGCCCAGCAGAGATTGGGGAACTGGAAATTGCAAAGGTGAGAATATTAGAAGAAAAATTGGAAAGACAGATTAACACAAGATCACCAAGAAGTTGGAATGGAAAAAAGGCAATCAGGATATCTGTGTCATGACACTTAGGAATACGGGATCATGCTTTCATAGAGTTGCAAGTAATTTGTTTTGGGTGAAGTCTTCGTGTTTACTGGCAAAAAGCACTATCACAGAGGAAGGCAGGATCCTGATTGTGCACTCATAGGAAAAGGCAAGAAATTTATTCACTATTCTACAGGTAAAAAATTATTTGAGTGTTTCTAAAAATAAGAAAATAACTATTTTAAAGAAAATTATATATGGTCAACTTTTAAGAATAAATTAAGGCTGGCAAACTGCAGTGGTGACATCATAAAGAAATGTTTGGGTAGATATGAAGACTCGGGTCTTTTGTCCAACCGAATGTGACACAGAAACAACAGGATAAGGCTGAGAAGGAGGATGGCCATCAGGCATCCAGAAAGGCAATGGTGTGGGTCTTAGCAGTATTCTCTGATAAAGTAAATTTTGGATACTGAGTGAAGTTTTGGTCTACTGGGTATGTCTGCTGAATACGTTTATGAATTTACTTTAAGACATTCTGAAAGAATGTCTTAAGTTCAGAAATATCTATTGAATATATTCTATGTGCCAGAGATTTGTTACATAGATCAAAGGTCCCCAACCCCCAGGCCACAAACCGGTATTATAACTTAAATGTCTAATTTGAAGGGACAGAAATACAAACATTTTGTTGGTCACAGCAACTCAGGTAGACAGGTATGATGTGAACGGACAGATATCAGTCCACAGTACTGGTCTGTGGCCTGTTAGGAATGAGACCGCACAGCAGGAGGTGAGTGGTGGGCCAGCAAGCATTACTGCCTGAGCTCTGCCTTCTGTCATATCAGGAGCAGCATTAGATTCTCATAGGAGTATGAACCTTATGGTGAACTGTCCAGGCGAGGGATCTAGGTTGTATGCTTCTTATGAGAGAATTTAATGCCTGACGAATCTGAGGTGAAACAGTTCAGTTTTATCCTGAAATCATCCCTACTGGTCATTCACAGGAAAATTGTCTTCCATGAAATGGGTTCCTGGGACCAAAAAGGTTGGGAACACTGACATAAGATGGATATGTACCTCCATTTTAGATGGCTGTGAGATATCTCAATGAAGATGGGTAATAATTATATTCTGAACTCCAGTCTGAACAGAAGTATTACAATTTTGACTTTTATGCTACTCTATTAGTTCATTTTCATGATGTTGATAATGACATATGCATTACTTGGAAGGAAAACAGGTTTAATGGGACTTGCAGTTCCACATGGCTGGGGAGGCCTCAGAATTATGGTGGGAGGCGAAATGCAATTCTTACATGATGGCAGCAAGAGAATATGAGGAAAAGGCAAAAGCAGTAATCCCTGATAAACCCATCAGATCTCATGAGACTTATTCACTACTAGGAGAACAGTACGGGGGAAATTGCCTCCATGATTCAAATCATCTCCTTCCAGGTCCCTCCCACAACACATGGCAATTTGGGGAGTACAATTCAAGATGGGATTTTGGTGGGGACACATAGCCAAACCACACCATTCTACCCCTGGTCCCTCCAAATTCTCATGCCCTCACGTTTTAAAATGAATCATGCCTTCCCCACAGTCCCCCAAAGTCTTAACTCATTTTAGTATCAACCCAAAATTCACAATCCAAAGTCTCATCTGACACAAGGGAAGTCCCTTCCACTTATAAGCCTGTAAAATCAAAAGCAAGCTAGTTACTTCCTAGACATAATGGGGGTGCAGGTATTTGGTAAATACAGCTGTTTCAAATGGGAGGAATTGACCAAAACAAGGAGGTTACAGGGCCCATACAAGTCTAAAATCTAGCAGGGCAGTCAAATTTTAAAGCTCCAAAATGATCTCCTTTGATTCCAGGTCTTATATACAGGTCATGCTGATACAAGAGGTGGTTCCCATGGTCTTGGGCAGCTCCTCCCCTGTGGCTTTGTAGGGTACAGCCTCCCTCCCAGCTGCTTTCACAGAATGTTGTTGAGTATCTGCAGGTTTTCCAGGCACACAGTGTAAGCTGTTGGTAGATCTATCATTTTGGGGTCTGGAGGATGGTGGCCCTCTTCTCACAGCTCCACTAGGGAGTACCCCAGTAGGGACTCTGTGTGGGGACTCTGACACTGCCTTCTGCACTGCTTGAGCAGAGGTCCTCATGAGCGTCCTGCCTCTGCAGCAAACTCCTGCCTGGGTATCCAGGCATTTCCATACATCTTCTGAAATCCAGGCAGTGGTTACCAAACCTCAATTCTGGACTTCCATGTACTCACAGGCTCAATACCATGTGAAGCTGCCAAGGCTGGATACTTGTACCCTCTGAAGCCATGGCCTTAGTTCTATGTTGCCCACTTTCAACCATGGTTGTATGGCTGGGACACAGGGCACCAAGTCTCTAGGCTGCACACAGAATGTGGGCCTTGGGCCCTGCCCATAAAACCATTTTCTCCTAGGCCTCTGGGCCTGTGATGGGAGCAGCTGCCATGAAGTCCTCTGACCTGCCCTGGCGACATTTTCCTCATTGTCTTGGGGATTAACATTTGGCTCCTTATTACTTATGCAAATTTTTGCAGTGGATTTGAATTTCTCCTGAGAAAATAGGCTTTTCTTTTCTGCCATGTTGTCAGACTGCTTCCTTTATAAAACTGAATGTTCTTAACAGCACCCAATTCACCTCTTGAATGGTTTGCTGCTTAGAAGTTTCTCCTGCCAGATACCCTATATCATCTCTCTGAAGTTCGAAGTTCCGCAAATCTTCTAGGCCCAGGGTAAAATGCCTCCAGTCTCTTTGCTAAAACATAACAAGAGTCACCTTTGCTCCAGTTCCCAACAAGTTTCTCATCTCCATCTGAGACCACCTTTCTCATACCCATATCGCTATCAGGCTTTTGGTCAAAGCCATTCAACAAGTCTCTAGAGTTTGTTTTCTTATTTTCTTTTGAGTCCACTAAACTGTTCCAACTTCTGCCTGTTACCCAGTTCCAAAGTGATTTCCACTTTATTGGATATCTTTTCAGCAACACCCACTCTACTGGTACCAATTTACTGTTATAACAACAGTGCCATTTTCACACTACTGATAAAGACATACCCAAGACTGGGAAGAAAACGAGGTTGAATTGGACTTACAGGTCCTCGTGGTTGGGGAGGCTTCAGAATCATGGTAGGAGGTGAACGGCACTTCTTATATAGTGGCAGCAAGAGAAAATGAGGAAGATGCAAAAGCATAAACCCCTGATAAACCCATCAGATCTCATGAGACTTATTCACTACCAGGAGAACAGTATGGGGGAACCACCCCATGATTCAAATGATCTCCCACTGGTTCCCTCCCACAACATATGGGAATTATGGGATTACAATACAAGATGAGATTTGGGTGGGGACACAGCCAAACCATATCAGAAGTGAGACAAATCACCTCACAAAACTATACACTAATATTCCTAGCTGCATATTCATTATGGGTAAAAGTAGAAAAAAAAGGCAAACGTCCATTATTTTCATAAAATAGAATATTATTCCATAATAAAAAGGAATGAGGTACTGTTACATATTACAACATGATGAACATTGAAAATATTTTTCAATCAAGCTTTTGGCTGGCTCTGGTAAGTGTTGCGATGTCCCATGGACATATTAACAGGTGAAACTCAAAGCTTGCCTTTTACCCTACACTCATAAAAGACTTCAATGAATAGAGATTAGTAAGTCTGGAAATGTTTTTTTTTCTGGCAAACGTCAACCATTTTTAAAATGTTTAGAAATAGCAAATCCTTGGTTATCTACTGAGAACATTCACTCTCTTAATGTTTTAAACCCATGCATACTGTAATATGGAGCTAAAACATGGATTCCATGAAGCTCACATAGCTCCATACCACACATTCCTCTATAAGTACCAGGTATAATCTTTCCAACTAATACTGGGGATCTTTCTCAGAGTCTTACATTTGCAACTTTTTAAATGTCCATTCACAGTTTCACTGTGTCTATCTTAAATTACAAATATTTGCCCAGATTTTCGCTATAGTTAAATTACTATCTGGGACACTATTCTCTTTGTGACATTGTTAAATATTTTAGTGATTTGTGAAACACTTAGTAAAATAATTTATTGGAAATACACAACTAATCTGGAAAATGACATGCTTTAGTTACTGTCAGGTGGTATTATATGCACTAGCGGGCATAATCAGTTATTCTAGCCATCAAAGAAGCTTTCAATTAAATGCCAAGCATCACTGATTCCTTCTCTATTCTCCTAATGGGAGACAAAGGAACAAAAGTAGGTGTGAATGTAATTTAAAAGTATGTTAATATGGAACAAAAATACGGTAAAAAGAATAACTTTGAACTGATCTTATAATGTTACCTTTGCTGTATATAAATAAATGCCTTGGTAGTATTTACATAGATGAAAGAAAGGCCATTGCAAGCTGTGAGAACTCTTCCTGATGCATTCATTCATTAATCACACATTCATTCATCAATGTTGGGTGTCAACAAACACGTATTGATCACCTAAAATGTGTTTGCCAGTGAGCCTCACAGTATATATACCAACCATGTTCTGGCTGTGGAGACACAAACATAAACAATCATTACCAAACTGTTATAGGATTTATGATACATATCCGAAATTGTAAGAAAACGAATAATTGAAACTAAATGGATCAGAAAAGTTTCATCAAAAAGGTGACATTTTTCCCCAAATGAGAAAGTTTAGTAGGTTGCCAATAAGGATGTGTAGGAAGGGGATTACAGCTCTAGAGATTTTGAAGGTGACATACTGGAAAAGTGACATGTACTGGAACAGTGTGCATGAGAGCTCCTCATTCATTATGTCTAATTCAATAAAACATATTTCTCTAGCTGTTTGTCCTGTGATTTTAGTCAAGCTATTGAAATAGAAGAAAGTTCTTTAATTAGTAACTTCTCAAAGAAGACAAAGAAAACTTGAGATTTTTATGAAACTAAGAAGACGTAGTAGAAGGGTAGAGGTAAGACTTATTTCATACAAGGGCAGGGTAATCCTTCGTGTTTAGTCTAAAAAGACAAATGGAGAGATTTCTTAACCTTTGCTGTCTTTCCAGAGCAATAGGCTCAGATAAATTCAACATTTTCAGTCTGAAAGACTGTAGAAAATTGACCCAAATTAGCAAAATTCTAACAGATAAATATAAGACACATTGAAGCCATTTCTAATATTATAGTTTAAGAAAATGAAAACAAAACCAAAACAATTGCAGAACTTGACATAAAATTCCTTTTTATCATTTAACAACTGCAAAAGCAAATGATATAAATTATGCAAAATGTTGTGTCCCTTATATATTACAAGTATATCAGAATTATACACAGATTTTCATCATGGAAGTAATGACATGAAGAAATTTTAGTGTCCTGCACAATGCACGGACTCAACAATGAAACAGAGTGTACATAGTATGGTACAGAACAAATACTGATTTTTCATTAATGTTCTAATATTTAAAACAGTTCTTATTCAATAAATATATTTAAAAAATAAATGAAGAAATTTTGGAGTTAAATAATTTGGGACATATATGCTTATATTACTAAATTATTAATTAAAAGTAGAACATTAAATATTCATCTTAAAATTTAAACCTAACTTTCATCTTCTAGTTCATGCATCTCAGAATGATTGATAGTCTAATTGTAGAGGAGAAATCTAGCCACCCTAAGCATATGTATGTATATGAGTATATACAGTGTAAAACAAAAATAAAATTCTAAGCTCCCCAAGTGACTGAATAGAGGCCTCCTTTTGAAGAAGGGCATTCCAAGGTTAATCTAAAAAACTAGTGGAGGTCACAATGGGAAAAGAGGGTCAGCCATGGCTCATAATATTCTCCTCCCTTTGGAATTCAGACATAACTGACCAGCATTAACATTAAATCAGAGGTCTTAGGACTGACAAAACAGACTCTTGGTAGCAGTAAGATACCAATTCCAACCTGATTCTAGTATAGCATCACATGACAGATGACAGGCCCTGAAAGAGACTCAAATATTTTACCCCAAAATATATTTCTTTTACATGCATTTGAATGGCCCTGCAAAGCTGCCTCTTATGGAGGAAATTTACATTCTATAGAAAATCTCCTTCCCTTACTAGGTCTTTTCAAAAGAATCCAGCACTTTTTAAGGTATGATAAGACATTTACCATCTACTGTCTCTGAAGCCTGCTACCTGGAGCTTTCCTGTGCATAACCTTAGCTTCCACAGTTCCCCTTACCTTAACTCCTCACATTTCTTTTTGTTGACTTCACTATTTAAGACAAACAATGATTTCAACCAATTGTCAAAAATCTTTGAATTTTTATTTTTTAATTTCTAGGTATAACCTAGAAATCCCTCACCCACTCTGAGATGTCCTGCTTTCCCAGACCAAACCAGTGTACACCTTACATGTACTGATTGACATCTGTCTGTAACTTCTGCTGCCCTAAAATGTACAAAATCAAGCTGTAATTTTGGCCACCTTCTCAGGACCTCCTTAGTCAGCATCACCAGCATGTTATTAACTTTAGCAAAATAAACTTCTAAATCGATTGAGACTTGTCTCAGATACTTTTTTGGTTTACAATACATAGCCCCAAAGATTAAGTATGTGTGTATGATTGTAGATACACACATGTTTATTTAGCAGATAATTCTGTTGGAAAGATTCCCTCAAGAATTATCTCCCTGCCTCTCCTTTTCTGATACCTTCTGAGCTCTTCCACACCCCTCCCCAATTCTAGGCTTACTCACCATCTCTCTCACAGTTCCTCTGAGTTTCTACATTTTTCTTTAGAGATGTTAATGTAATTAATTCTTCAGAGTAAAATCTTGCTGGCCCTGGAGCCATTCCATCTCTTTAAATTGAATTTTCTTCTTTACATGTTGATTTTACAGTTTAATCTCCCAGGGCAATTTTATTTCTCTTATTTATGGGTGTTTGGGGAATTCCTTGGGTCTAATTCTCATGCCAATTAGAGCATGGTGGCATAAAAATCCATTGTGAGTCTAAGGAATGGTGAATAGCCTCCTGGAATTACAAGCAATCAACTACTACTGGACTGGAATGGTAAGTCAAGGACTTATCAACAGACCAAGATCATTTGTCATATTTGGCACTCATGGATATTGGGCTTGACTGGGACAAGGTTCTACTGCAGTAAACAGCATAAGGAGAATGACCTTCATTATTTTGTCAAGTGACAATCTAGTAAATCCAAGGTTTAAAAATAGCCGTAGAGAAGTTCATTATTTGTCATGATGTTCTTGTGAAGACAAGCTAAAAGTCATTGTATTATATTGTTGCCATATTTTTCAGAACTATTTTATGTCTTCTTTATTTTTCTTCAGGCCTTTTTAAAAAATTTTTTTAGCAATAGAGATTTTCTACATTTCCCAATGACAGTGTTTTAAAGATAATATTTGGTGGAATAGAAAAAACTTGGTAATCAAATAAATAAGGTGTGTCTTCATGTTGATTTTCAGCATGTAGCATAGACTATGACTCAAGAATTACTAGTTTTTTCTTAAAGAAAAGTTAAATTAATGCATGAGAAATCATAAAAGATAGCATTGAGAGTCTAACTTTTTTCTCAAAGTCACCGTTGCCATTTTTATGGAATATAATCACACACATATAAGTTAAATTTAAAGAAATCGTAATCTAGAGAATTTTCTATAGAAAATAACACGGGTATTCACAATGCTTTTGAACTTAAAAAATCTAAGCATTTACATGTAAATGAAAAATCTGCTTTAGAAGATAGGAATTGACTCAATAAACCCATTCCCATTTCTTTTTCTTTCTTTCTTTTTTTTTAAAATCATACTTTAAGTTCTGGGGTATGTGTGCAGAGCATGCAGGTTTGTTACACAGGTATATAACTGATATGGTGGTTTGCTGCACCTATCAACCTGCCATCTACATTAGGTGTTTCTCCTAATGCTGTCTCTCCCCACGGTCTCCACACCCCAACAGGCCTCAGTGTGTGATGTTGCCTTCCCTGTGTCTATGAGTTCTCATTGTTCAACTTCCACCTATGAGTGAGCACATGCAGTGTTTGGTTTTCTGTTCTTGATTTGCTGAGAATGATGGTTTCCAGCTTCATCCATGTCCCTGCAAAGGACATGATCTCATCCCTTTTTATGGCTGCATAGTATTCTATGGTATATATGTGCCACATTTTATTTTTGCAGTCTATCATTAATGGGCATTTGGGTTGGTTCCAAGTCTATGCTATTGTGAACAGCGCT